AGATGCGGAGAGGGAGGTGGCAGGGTCAGGGTGACAGATAAGGCGTTAGACAGACCTCTTGCATTCCTCTTGGATGTCACTGCAATGAATTTCTGCTTCGTGATGCTAAATCTAGAGCCTTAAACCATCCAGGAATCCTGGACCAGATGTCTGACCTGTCATCAGATTATCATCAAATCATCTAGGTTGGAAGGGACCTTTAAGATCATCAAGGCCAACCGTCACCCCAGCACTGCCAAGTCTAACACTAACCCACGTCTCTCAGCACCATGTCTGCCCATCTTTTAAATCCCTCCAGGGACGGTGACTCCACCACTGCCCTGGGCAGCCTGACGTGTGCTCCAGACCCCTCACAGCTCCGCTGCCCTTCTCTGGACACGCTTCAACACCTCAATGTCTGTCGTGTCCTGAGGAGCCCAAAACTGAACACAGCCCTTGAGGTGGGGCCTCACCAGTGCCGAGTACAGGGGGATGATCAATGCCCTAGTCCTGCTCACCCTGCTATTCCTGATACAGGCCAGGATGCTGATGGCCTTCTTGGCCACCTGGGCACACTGCTGGCTCATGTTCAGCCGGCTGTCCACCACCACCCCCAGGTCCTCCTCCACCGGGCAGCTTTCCAGCCACTCTGCCCCAGGGCTGTAGCGTCCATGGGGTTGGTGTGACCCAAGGGCAGGACCCGGCACTTGGCCTTGTTGAACCTCATACCATTGGCCTCTGTCCATTGATGCAGCTTGTCCAGATCTCTCTGTAGAGCCGTCCTACCCTCCAGCAGATCAACACTCCAGCCCAACTTGGTGTTGTCTATGAACTTACTGAGGGTGCACTCGATCCCCTCATCCGGGTCATTGATAAAGATGTTAAAGAGAACCGGTGCCAGTACTGAGCCCTGGGGAACACCGCTGATCATCCTGTCCTGGCTGGCCTCTCTCCTGGCTGAGAGCAGGAGGACTAGAAACCCTCTGAAGAAAGTAAAAGCTGAAAAAATGCAATTCTGAAATTAATTCTGCCTCTGCAGTGGTAATAACGTCTGTAAGGTTTGCCCAGCAGATGCCAGCAGTGAATTAGCACAGAGCTGAATATGTAACTGTGGCAAATGCTTCCCTGCTTAAAGCGTGATTGCTTGAAATAGCTTAATTTTTTTTTTCATTGAGGCTGATTTTTTTGCTGTGAACATCCTCATTTTATTCTCTGAATCCCTCGGAATAGTGTGTTAGTCTGTCTCTGTCTACAAGTCAGAAAACATGCAGGTTTAGATTTGGTCCACAGTTCATAATAATGGCCTTCCGCATAAACAACGGGATTAAGTTACTTATTTCAAAGATGTTTTAGGTCTAACCTTTTTGCATCTTATATATTTTTTATCTGACCTTCTTCCTGTTCACTGCCCTCTTCAGAGGAAGAGTGTAACTTTTCTTGTTTACTGCCCCTCTCACTTTGAATTATAAATTTGACCTGACATTAAGCTGATCCTTTCTGTACCGGAGCAAAAAAAAAAAATAAAATCTAAGTCATGTGGTATTATCCTTCACTTTCATTGAACCATCTGGACTCCTGGAGCCAGAGCTGAAAACTGTCAACATCTCTTGATGCAAAGCAAACAGCCTTAGCGAAAAGGGAAGTTCAGGCTGGAGGATCCTCCCGTAGAAAGTTGAGAGCAGTTCAACCCTGGAGGAAGGAAATCATTATCTGTCAGAAGAACCCTATCCTGCCTCGGAGCCATAGCGTTACGCATCTAATGCTGTTCCTCTAAAGGTTAGACTTGGATTGAAGATATTGGTGGAAAACAGATTGTGGTTTTACTAAAGTTTATTTTTGGTTTGCTGTTTGCAGAACTCATGTCCCAAACAAGAGGGAGAGGTCTAGTCTCTCGTGTCAGGACCTCCTTAATTTAAGGAAGCGACAAGGAGGACTTCTTACTGCATGGCTCACCCCCTCAATAATAAAATTGATACACGTATGATTTCATGATACACATAATACAAGTCAATTCCAGGTCCTTCTGAACTGTGCAGAATATAATGTGTTATCCACATAATCGTGTTGGTGACTGTGGTTATGTACCTTTTCAAAAAGATTTCCTTGAATCAAGGCGTGAATACAAATAAAGTAACACTGTCATGTCACAGTGCGGTTAAAAGGCCTTATGATTTAGATTTTCATGCGGGATCATAAACACTGAAAGAATGGATTTCACTAGGAACATTTATTCTTTACCCTTAAAAGATTCCTATTTGAAACTGTAAAGACCCACTGAAAAGTAAACTCACATCACATGGAATTGAATGTTCATTACAAATAATGGTTATTATATGAGTCTAGATGATTACTTGCCATTTTATGTCCTTGGCAATTAGTATCTCTCATTTAAAATATTTATTTTTCCTTTTGGCTGAGTTTCCCTATTTTACAGAACTGTAACAGTTGTCTTAAAAATTGTGCTCTCCCAGGCAAAATAAATTAAGTCTTGGAATTAGGTCAAGACTTTTAACTGAAGACAAAGTTTCAAAACAATCCTGGTGCAGAAAATGAAACTCACTTTCTCCCTTGAACTCCTCTTCCTACCTGCTGCTTCTCTGGGGGTTTGTGTCTGTAAATTAAACGTACGCTCTCTTTCTTGCTTCCTGGAAGGCCTCCAAAGGTTGAGGGGAAGTCTTACAGGAAACCTTTCCAAAACATATTTAGGACTTGTTCTTCTTGTGCAGATAAAACCCTCAGATGTGTTTTAATACACACTAACTGAAAGTGGAAAACTAATATTTGGTTTGGGGCATTTTTTTTTAATTAAAAGGTAGAAATTTGGTGGCTGTTTTTCCTATTAGAATTTGCATCAGGAGTTTTTCGTCGTTGTTACTTCCTTGTTTCTTTCAGTGAGTTCCAGATGTGCTCATAATTTGAGATTTATCTTAGTGTAATTGTTTATTTGATCGAATGAGCATGTATTGCATTCTGAGACTTCCTTACTGGATTATCAGATGGAAGGGAATGCAGTCGCTGCCTTTCATGAAGTTTTCTGTGTGGCTTTGATTTGAAAACATCTGTCTTTGAGTTACAAAAATAATCCAGAAAAGACCTAGACATACAAGAAAGATATGGCTTTAATTCTTTCCCAGATATAGGCTCAGATTTTCCAGGTGTCCTGGAGTCTAATTGAATATTTTATGAATCCAATTTTGCCGTCTGTGACTATTGATATACCACATAAATGGAATCCATTCTTAGAATACCTCCAGTTCACAGAATTAGAATTTTGTAGCAGTGCAACACCACAAGTTAATTGTGCAATGTCTAAAGTGAGTGCATTAACTCAAGTGAGTGTAATTACCTTTTAAAATTTCTTTCTCTTTTTCTTCCTCCAGGGAGCATTCGTAGGACTTCTTGCCTTTTATTACTCACATTCTTAAATTATGTACTCTTTCACTGATCCCTTGGAAAACTCAACCCTCCCGCTTTAACAGGTATTTCTTTTGGGATAGCAAGGAGTAGAGGTGAACAAAAGCAGCCAAGGCAACGATATAGCATCGCTGTAAGTACTGACATCGACAGTATTCCCATCATTATTTGACGTTTGGTATTAAGAGAAGTTGCTGAGTTACTGTCTAACTTGGTGCGGTGTTTGCTAGTTACGTGGTTTGCACATACTATCATTCTTGTTAAACCTTCCCTTGCGTATAACCTCCATTGAAACGCTCTTCAACAGGGAGAGGAGCAGAGGCAGCTGAGTCGCAGTGGTAGGACCTGACTGCGGAGGCGTGCCGGCTTTACGTTTACATCACATCTTCCGCACTGCTCTCTCCCAGAGTTAGGAGATGCTCCGATTTTAATGAGGCAAACGTAGAAATTAATGCAATCAAATCAGAGAGCGTATGTGAGTCCAGCGGGGTGTACCGATGTTTCCAGGGATGCTGATGGTGTGGATGCTGATGGTGTGGCTAGCATCATGTGTGCATTCAAAATAGGCCTTAAAAATAGCGTTAACATAGCCAAAAATGGAGGTGGGGGGAGAATGATGAGTAATTCAAGGCATGTGTGTCTGCTTCTTTTCTCCTCCCGACAGTCTTACTACTCCCTGCCTTCTGCAGGAGGTAAATATTAGTGCTCCCACCCTCTTAGTTACAGTGCTGAAAAAAACAATCCTTAATTTAGTGAAATTAAAGTCAGTGCTCCTAAGGAGGGTAAATATTAACTTTTCCCAACTTTCCCAGGAGTTATTAACTCGTCTTATGTTATGAGCCTAAATAAATTACCATATAAAAATGTATTTTTATCAGGCACGTAACCCACGGAGGACCAAGGTTTGTTTCATAAGTGTAGCTGGGGATTGACCTGGGTTCAGAAGGTCCAGTGGTGCTCAGGTGGTAGGAAGCTCATTTTTTATTTTCATTGCCGCTATATGACATGCTCCGTCTAGGAATATGTATCATGATACCAAAATGGACATGTATAAAATACAAAAAAAACCAGATTATTCAGGATTTAGTGGAGGTTTTAATCAATCAAGGCAAGAAATTAGATTTAAAGGTTTAGAAAAGGAGATTTAATGAGTAAGTAGACATTTCAATCAATGCCAAAGTATTCATCCTTGTATATACAGAAAGAGAAAATTCATATATATATATCTATAAATGAAAACAAAAATATTTCTGAACTATTTTATAAATAGCTAAATTCAAGAAGGTAAAAATCTGTACTTTCTTGTGTGATATGCAACATACTCAGTTGCATATAAAAATGAGGAAAGTGAATTATGCCTCTGGTTCTATTTTACAATTCATAAGAAAAAGTAAACTCTTGACTCCTTACAGGTTTGTTTGCATTCTGAATTCCTGATCTGAAGAATTCAAGAAGTAAATAAGTAGACACTTACAACAGTGAACAGAATTATATGAAGTAAGTCAGGTCCACCAAAATACGCTTGGAGTACGTAGATCAGGACTACCAGAAGGAAAAAACTGGCCCCTATTACTGCATAATCAAAAATCTTCTGAGCAGTGTGTTTATTCTACTGAATAAATACTATTATTAGTGCTTATAGAGTCAAAATCAGATGATACCATTCTCCCACACCAGATTTTCTTGTCCATCTCTTTGTCATTAGGATGCGAATGTTTGAAAATTGTCACTGCTTTAGATACAACACTGACCTTTTTTTCCAAAAATTTTCAATTTTCAAAATTTTTTATATTTAAGGAAAGCCAAAAATAGTTAGCGTAAAACAATTATTTATCTCTTTGATGATGTAAAAGGTGTTTGGCTGTATTGTTGAAAATGAATCCCTTGGGATGCTGTAATCTTCATGACTTCTCCATTTAGAGTATCATCTTCAATTATTGTTATCAGTCCCTCAGCAATTATTGATGGGCTGAAAAAGAAAAAGTTGTTATTTCATAGAACCATAGAATCACAGAATGGTTTAGGTTGGAAAGGACCTTGAAGATCATCTCGTTCCCCCCCCCCTGCCATTGGCAGGGCCACCTCCCACCAGCCCAGGTTGCCCAAGGCCACCTCCAGCCTGGCCTTGAACACCTCCAGGGATGGGGCCTCAACAACCTTTCTGGGCAACCTGGGCCAGTGCCTCACCACCCTCAGAGTGAAAAACTTCTTCAAAAATTCTTCAAAATTTCAGAATCATGATGTCGTAGAACATGTGAAAAGGACAAGGAAAGAAGCGCAATGTAAATCTATATCCCCTGATAATTAAACAATCCGGTATTTGAACAAATTTATTTTCAAGAACAGCAGAGGTTACCACCTCTGAGTGTTTCAGGAGAGCAATTCAGTCCCCTCAATTGGGACATACAACGGAAAGGGGCAATTTTACAAATCATCGTTTGTTTGCTCTAGTCAGTGCTGAATCCCCGTGGATGTCCAGCTGCCGCTGGGCTTCCAGCAAAGCCCTCTCTCTCAGGGCAAAGGGCAGAAGGAAACCTTACGCAGTCCTCTGCACCTCTTTGCTGTTGACTTCTCCTGTTACCGTAGAAGGGCTGACACACAAATCAGTCTAAGGGGAATTTTGTCACCTGCGGTTGGCTACGGTCAGTAGGTGCAGTGTATTTTACATATGAAAAATTATGAGTGAAGCAAAACCAATGGTTTCAGATAATTTCCTTTGTGCAGTGGTATCTGAGCAGCTAATTGTTAGAGACGGAGAAAATGTTAAAAAAATATCACTTTGTGCTTGTTTTGTTCTCAGGCTCTTTCCTCTCTGTCTGCCTTTGGCCTTTGTTGGCGACACCGTAATGGGTGAGGGACCTCCTTGATTCGATCCCCCATCACCGCTACTCTGGTCTTAGGAACTTAGCCCGGTTTCGTCGGTTCTCGGGCTGATTTCTATCTTGGTTCACCTGCAACTTCTGTGGAAATTCAATACAAATGATGTACCCTGTATCTCACGAGTTTGATTAAACAAACTTGTGGAAGAACACCGAGGGCTATGGAAAACTAATACACCACCGTTAACTTGGGAATTTGACTTACACTTTGCTGGGAAATGGGAGTGCATAAAGGGAAATATCACTATGTAGGCGATACTCTTAAAATACACTTAGATATCTGCCATTTGTTCCTTGAGTATAAGATAACACATTTGTTTGATAGACTTTTATCTGAGGCAGCGTTTCCCATTAGTTTTAATTTTGCTGAGAGTGCTATTGTGTGTGCTTTTTCTTCATTAACGAAGGGCAAAAAAACCACCGTATCTCACTTACTCCATCACGCCATAGAACTGCATCATGTTTTTGATCTCATCCTTGTATGAATAATATTGTCCCATATTCTCTTCTTTATCTATTGACTGAAGAATTGGTGTGTTGACAAATCCTGGACAAATTGTGTTGAGTCTCACACCGTAGTTTTCCATATTAGCTGCTAACTAGAAAAGAGAAAAAGTTAGGCGTTCGTCATCAACATTTTAAAGTAGTATGGTGCAAGTAATTTCTCAAAGAATGAGATTTACCACTAAGTACTTCTCAGCCTTGCCTAGTAAGCAGATTTTGTTACTACTGATTGTTTTGTTTCAACAACTAAGTTTGAAGCATGTTTTCTCTAGAAATCGTACTAGATTACTAGAAAAAAACATCTGCGTTGCTGGGAGAACAATTCTACGAGTCATCAACACTCTCCTTTCCACGCAGCTGTTTGTTTTCTAATATTTTTGTTATTAGTGCTCTTGGCATGTCATTAACAGTATTCTAGGGGGATGAGATAACTCTCACAAGCAAAACCAAGTGAAAAATATCTCCCATATGCTTCCAATCTTGAAAGAATTTTCTTATTAAAAGAAAACTATCTGAAATCAAATCAAGATTTAACGCTGAGATTACATTTACCTCCTTCACGTCAACAGAAATAGGATTTGGTCTCTACCCCTGGAACCATAATGCTAAACCTTTCCAGCTGCGCTCTGGTCCCTGCCAAGGGATGAATCTATCCCTGAGCATCTCCGCAGGAAAGGCCCTCTGAACTCCAGGAAAGAGGCAGGAGGTTTTTCAGGAAGCAGTTCAGGAACACGATGAAAGCAAGCAGCACAAATTGTTCTGGGAATGGTGGGGCCCTTCATTTGAGGTGCTACCAAGGCGTGTGTGTAGCAAAGAAGTCTGATCAGCATCCAGGCGTATGTTGAGTGCTGGATGAACTTCCTTAGCGGTGGCACAGAACTTATGAACTGTACACGATATGTCCAAGAACAACCATAATTTTTCAACACTGAGTTCTATTTATTTTAACTTTTAATGGGAATCCTTTCTGGTTTTATGTACATCGCATCTCACTTTCATGCTATGGTAGCCTGCCCCTTCGGTCTGGAGAAGAAAAGAAACCGAAGTTCTGGATGTGTTGTACCATCCCTGCGCAATGTCCGGCTGTACTGCCTTTCCTGGAAAATACAGGGATTCACTATGTTTATTATTCTTTTTCTCCTCAGCCTTCCCATGTTCCATAGAGACAGCATTTCCTCTAATTTTCTAGCAGACCCTTTATTTTTGAACTTAGATGATGATGTTTATATTATCATGAGAAAACAATAATGGAAAACCAGGTTTCAGGTTCATGCTGCGGATAATATGTGATACGCAACACTTATCCATACTAACCTGTCTGGGTTAATCTAAAAATGAAGTTATTTGGGTGGGGGCATAAAATATGGATAAACTATCCAAATGATCATTTTGGGTACTTTGTTCTGAAAATTAGATTGGAAATCTTATATGAGCAGACTATTTTTAAGCTTAGCCTATGAAAGTGTGATCATATTTGCTCCCTCCAAGGTACTTTGTCTTACTGCTTGTTCAGTTTAACTAGAAAGTTTTGGAGTCAGAGGCTAAGACTTACTGGATGGTCAGATAACATCTAACATGTCCCATCCTGAATGTGTCATTTTGCATTTTCAGCGTATTGAGAGTTGGTAAGAATAAATAATGGTAAACATAGTTGTATTCAAGTCACTTTTTGTACATTTGATCATTAAAATGATCAATTGTACTATTGATCATTAAAAAAAGTCATCAACATGACTTACAAATAAGGAAACCAAAATGTTAAATGACAGGGATGAAGTTATGAAAAATATTTTTAAAGCTTGGATAACAATTTGACTTTTGGGCTCCTCCCACTATCCTTTAATTACTTTGCAACATCTTTCTTCCACGTTCCCAGACCCTCAAATCAGCCATAAACACACACATGCCTTACTTATTCCATCTCTGGATCCCCTTTGTGAAAGGAGGGAACCTCCGCCGCTTCAGACACTCCGTTTTCCTTAAGAAAATTATTTTCCAGTTGTGTGATGATAAAGAGGGAACTTGAGAAACTTAACATGTTCCCAAGGAGCTGCTGGTACTGTTTTCAAAAACATACTTACTGCTATTGAGCGTGTGAATCCAATTACACCATGCTTTGTAGCACAGTACACAGGTTGGAATGCAGCAGGCATGAGTCCTTTAAAATAAAAAGGTAGCTGAATAAAGATGTTGGGTACTCCTATTGATGATTACCTTAAACACACATATAGGTCTATAAGGTAAAAAAGAAGTGATGGATTTACAGAGATGCAACAAAATAGATTAGTAAAAATTTGCCAATTCTATGTTGTAATCTGAGGTAGGTGGGGAAAAGATATGAGATTGATAAAAACATGAAGAGGCAAGAGAAGAGTAATAAAAAGTATAACTTTTAAGAGGAAAAGTTGTATCAATGAAGCATGACTTAAAACGGAGGAAAGGATCTGGCAGAAAACACTCAAGGATGAGATTTTTTTGAGCCTTCTTCTATGAATCTGTAAAATATATAAAGTACGTAAAGTATTTTAGGTAAACGTTGATTGCTGACACGGTAGCTGCTGCTATGCAAACTCAACACCTGCGATTATTCACAGTGATTTCAGGGAAGAAATGTGTGAAAAGGTACGGGAAAGAGCAAAATCCATTTTGACTGCTGTAACTGCTTTAATATTATCTTTGTAATATATCAAACCATAACGTCTGACTTACATCCCTTGCTTGTGTTGCTTCTGTGGAATAGTAACAAAATATTTGATAGGTGATGTTTTGTGGGTTTTTTTTTTACAGAGATTTAGATGGAATAAGTGAGCCATTTTGCAATAAGCACATGGAAAAAGCACTAAGAAGTGAGTGCAGGACCTCAGCGCAGAGAGAAGATAGAGGTGAGTGAGTTAACACTGTGAACGGAATGGTAAGTTGAAGACCTTAGATAACGAGCAGAAAGAACGGAAAGCAGAGGTGTGCATAGGAAAGCTTTTTGAAGCAGTTTCTGGATTGAAGTAGGTTGGCTGAAAAGGATTTTATGGTGTGGTGTCTCCTTGAGTGGGCCCTGCTCTGGAATGAAAAGCCAGGATGAAGATTTTCAGAAAGGAACAGGAAAAAGGGGTAACGATCCCGAGTAATATCATTGCTACCCTCGGTAAGGAAAAGGAGGAGCGAGATGAAATGCCTGCTGGCTTTGTGAACCTTTATGGTGGGAGCGGGAGAGCATAAAATCATTTGGTAGTGGAGAAAGAAGAGAGAACAGAGGTTGTGGAGGAAAATTAAGAACTTAATTCTAGTAAGACTGAGTTTGATGGCAAAAAGCTGGTCAAGAAGAGATGACAGACCATATGTGCATATATGTATATGTTATGCCAACAATTTCCACTGTGCACTGGTAGCTGAACTGGAGCTCACGGACGCGGCAGTTCCAGCTGAAAGCTCAGGTCTTGTGACTAGCAAACCCCCGCCTGTCCTTGAGTGAGAGGATGAAATTTGTCTGCGTTTCTGCATGTGGTATCGTGAAACTGGTTGTGATTTTGATGCGTTAATGTTTGATTCTAACGCAAGTCACCCCAATTAATAGCTCGGATATGCTTTTTTCATTCTTCGTATTTCATATCCTTAAGTGATGTTGTCGAGAAAGGGTGTGACTCGTCTCAGTGGAGATGAAGAATACGCTACCCGGCTTTAAGGATGGATTTGCTGGAAAGATTATTTATGCCCGAGACTGGCACAGGCTCTTTGCTCTCGAATCCCTTTTGTCTGAAGGGAAAAACTTTCTAATAAAGCTCCAATTACAACCCTGACAGCTTCAAGGCTTTTATCTTGGTTTAAATGCTACACTGGTGATCCAGTGAAAGCAGCAGTTATTAGCACTGTTCAGTGGTGGGAAATGAAGCACTTAACCTCATGGCTGGTGGTTCCCTTAAACTTGTATCTGTCTGCTCAGCTCAGATTGGTGAGTTGTGCTTCTCATTGAGAACTTAATGAAAAATGGGGTCTGTGTTGTCCCCTTTGGGCTGTGATCACAACACAGGCTTAATATTCCTCTGTTTGGTGACTTGATCATCATCACTGTTCCTTGAATAATTGGAAACATTGGAAACACTGGAAATATTATGATGCTATTTTTTTTTTAAACTCCTGAGTAGTTTTACGTGTTTTAAAGAAAAAAAAAACAATCCCAATGAGGCTGCAGCTAATAGACGTACGAAAGACAAAATCTACTGAGGCTGCAGCTAATAGACGTACGAAAAAATCTAATGGGAAACATAGAGGAGGGATTTTATTTTATTCTTTTTAAACATAGTAAGACAAATTATTGTTACTTGGGAGGGAAGAGAAACAAAGTCGAGAAATAAACAAAGGAAGGGCAGAGCTCCCAATAACGAAGTGGAATAAGGTTCAAAGACTTAAATGTCAAAAGACAGCA